GAGGGGTCTGGAACGGAATTCGGGGACTTGATCCGGAGCTCTGGATCGGGGTCTGGATCGGGATGTGCGCTCGCCCTTGTTCCGGACCTTTCATATTGAGCGGTAGCCACATAGTTGTGACTCGCTGTCCTGACCCCAGTACTTGATCAGGAAGGAGCTGCTGGTGGACAGGGACCCAACATACAGCTATCGTCTATCTATCTATCTATCTGAAGCCTAATTCGTTTGTAGATGCCTGAAACTCTGTCTGTTTTCCGCCGCCTCTTGCTTGCAAGATGCGCCATGTGGCGCAAGCGTTCCTTCCCAACAAGGTAAGGCTTCTCAGGCTCAGGTTGTCTGCCCATCTCCTCATTTTGTGTGTCACTTCATCATTGCATTCCTCTTCCACGTCCTTTTCTGCCTCCTTTTCCTACTCGTCTTCTTGTTCATTGTACAAGTTCAATGTGCGGCAATACGTTCTCGTTTTTGCCCTGCTATGCTACCATCCAGCCCAGCAACTGACAAGCTGCAACGGATCTGGAAGCTCTTCCTCTGGATGATCCGCACCGCAGAATGTATCGCCGTATAGCTCCTGAGCAGTGCCATGGGCTTCAAGCTTTGGCGCTGAGTGCGGCCCTGCGAAAACTTTCTGTGTCCTTGGCCATGGCCTGGCGTAGCTAATTGGAGCTTTCATTCTCAGATTAGTTCAGATGGACACCAGGCATACGCATGAAGCGTGGCCTTGGGTACTGTGAACACCCGAAAGGCCGCATCTTCAGAGACCTTCTCTGCCACCAGTTTCTCAAACCTTCGCGCCATGCTCACCATTCAAAACAATGCCCTGGTGGCGCTACTCCGAAGACGGTGACTAAGAACAAGGCTTTGTGCGCTGGGGCTTTGAGGGGAAGGTCTCCACTGAATTTAGAGTCAACCGGCCGGAGAGGTCGTTGCAAGGCTTCACTGACTCCTTGGCTAGTGGAGAACTGACCCGCAATGATCAGCAAGCAATGTTGGCAAAACAACTCATCTCTCGGATGGCAGGATTGAGTGAATTTCTGCGAAGACGGGGCACTGTGGTGAGGGCCAGTGGGATCTCAAGCGCTTGCGCTGCAGCACCCTGACATGAAAGACAACTAGTTGAGCAAGCAATACTCTCTACTAAGCTCTACCAGTTCTCGGTGCTCAAACTGCCTTGATCACTGCCAGCGCAGCCGCAAAAAATGGACTTTGTAAGGTCTCCTCGCACGGCCCAGGGCTTGGCTGGCGCAGCACGGGCTGAGGGCTGCTTCCACGGACGGCAGCCCCCGGACCCTCACCTGTGTCGCTGACTCTTTTGGTGGTATTATGCAGGGGTTTATCGGGAGTAAGATGGAAACTGCCACGTTGTCACAGGCATAGGGCATATTACATGAGGGTTGTATGGGGGGAAATCCTACATACTGTAAACCTCTCCTGGAATTCCTTGCTCTCAAAATCTCTCAAAACTGCTTGAGACCTCCTGCAGGCGTGACGCCGTCGGCGCACATGGCCTCCTACCGAGCTTTACCAAGGTCGACTAACGCTGTCTGCCTGCCAGTTGGCTGTCGAGCTGGCTTTTGACGTTTGTTACTTTTGCTATGCTGAGGCTTCGCGACTGCGGAAAACGAGGCTACTCTGAAGGAGCTTGGCAATATAGTGTGCATATGTATATATATATATATATATCTATATCCCTCATTACAACCCTTTTGTAACGCTTCATAAGTAGGTTACCTAAGCCATTAGGGTCCCACAAAGTAGGGGAGCCATTCACCACACTCACAGCAACAACACAAGCTCAGACCACTGGAAGGTTTCCCTAAATCAGGGGTACCCCACCATAACGGAGAACCAAATTGGAAAAGAAATGGGAAATGATATGGAACCTGGGGCCACACATTATGAGGATTTGGGGCTTTCTACTAAAACTAAGGGTACAATTCGGGTCTATATTGGGGTCCCGTCATGGACACTTCAACTTGGTGTTTCTAAGTCGCGGGCCAACTTGTCGAACACTTTCCTGCACCAATCCAATGTAGCGCAATGCTTCCAACTGCATCTCAATTAGCGTAATTGTTCCAGGCTCTCTCCGCAGATCCTTTTCAAATGCTTACTTTCACGAGTCCTTTTCAGGAGCGGTTTCTGTGGCACATATCTACTCTAATTCCATGTTTGTCTCCGACCTTTTGTAGAGGCTCACGTAGGCGTACGAGAGAGACACGGGGCACCCAATTGCACTTAGGCAAGGGTTCCCGGAAACTTAAGCACCACAGCAATGGCGACCGTCTTGTCTGCTGCCCTGACATTAGCGGCGCCTTTGCTAGGAGCACCAACGGTGCTCAAGCACGTGCCTAGCTTCGAGCCGTTTCACAACATCTGCGAGCAAGCCCCAGCGTGATTATCTCATGGCAAAGAGGCTCTTGGTCTGATCGCTTGACGTGCTAGCATTCCGCCGAGAAGCACCTGAGCAGCCGACGAATGCGAGTGGATGGTAATCCAACACTTCGATCACGGCAAACTAGATGTTTCGTGAACTCTTCCCCAGTTCCTTTTCAAACGCTTGCTGTCAGTCTTTGTGGCTGCTGGAACCCAAGGTGAGAAAGTCCGTCTTCTCAAGTTCAGCATCATTCATGAGGTCCGTTATCTTCTTGCAGGTATAGGAGTGAGATTTCTAAATGCTAAGGAGACAGCACCATGGCGCCCGACATAGCCGCCAAGCAAAGCTCCGGAAGCTGTCTGGCTTTCGACTAATTTTCTTTGTGACATGTTCAGCTTGTTGCCCTCCGCGCAAAGAACCGGTATGCAATCACCGAGATCTCCTACCCACAGCTCTCTGCCCTTGACGAGACGGGTAATGGATGGTTTTGGTCAGCTCCACATCGACTGCCTTGAAGGCCGACGGGCAAGGCCTTCAAGGCAGTCCATGTGGCAGATGCCTGTTTCTGCATCAGGTTCATGTTTAAGATGGGTCACGATGATGAAAGGATCTGCTGGCTTCACGACGGACACAGCTTCCTCTTCAGCGTGTCCGTCATTTGTCGTGAATAAGCGCAAGCCAGCAGCGTAGTTCACGTGCACGTCACGCGCCATTCTGAGGCGCTTGTCCTTGGTCACCGCCCAGCCGAAGTCTTGACCTGCAGCACTGCCATTTTGATGCGGCATCCCTGCCCAGTCAGCTGCACAAATGACTCAGCAGCCACCACATGGCCAAAAGTGCCCAAGCAACTACCTAGCTCTGAGCCTTTTCGCAGCATTCTCTAACAAGCACGGGCATCCTGCAATCATTGGCGAAGGCTTGGTTTGTTGCTTGTACCTCCGGCAAGGTAAAGCTGTCGTTGAGCTTGGCCAGTGTCACCTATCCACTTGCATCACCATGAAAGGCTGGAACGCACGTGCTTTGAATGCAAACTCAAAATTCATCTCAAGCCTGCAAGACTGCCAGAAAGCGCGGCAAGCCTCCATGTACAGCGGCTCACGGGCATGAATCGAATCATGGTGTTTTGTTTTGGCAGATGCTTTCGAAGGCCTGGCGAGAAGCCAGCATGCTGCAACGCGCCGGCACCTGACGATCCAACTTTCTCCAGGATACAAGCATTGCGCCGTGTTGCGGACATCCAAGCTATTAAGTTCGTTGCTAAAAGTGTGCTGGACCAGGTCTCCTGCAGGCTAGCGGGCGAAGTTCCGGTCAACTGCAAGTTCTGCTGGAGTCCTGTCGAAAGCCCTTCTGCTCCTTCCAGGTCGTGAAGTGAGTGAGTGACCTGCACTTGAAACATCTAACTACCAGCACTGAGCTGGGCCGATTCTCTTGAAGATGCATGTGAAGGAGATTGTGTCGGCCAGGATTGGGTGGCAACACGGGTAGTCGCGCATGCGTGTGCAGAACTGCTGAAGTCCTGTGTCGCCTGGGCTTTTCTCAGGGAAATTCCTTAAGCTTTCTTGGATGCCTGCCTATCAAGGTCTCAAATGTGCTTTCGCAAGCTTCACTTTTGAAGAATGCTTTCGAATCTGAAGACGAGAATGCTGCGCCTTGTGGGCGCAACCTGCCAGTAGCCTTGATCAACATGAACCCCGTGTCCAGTTCTGTCTTTTTCACTATCGGGATAATCTCCCTGACCTCTGTATAGCCCCTACATAACCCTATATTTAACTACATAGTCCGATATAGTTTGCTTGCTCTGGTGGGTGGTAGTAACGAATGCTTGCATCTGACCCTGCGGCACTGGTCGAGCATTGCCATACCGTGACAAGCTGGCCCTATGAGAAGCAGCTGCTGTGCAGTTCTTTTTCAACTCTGGCTGTTTGTTTTGCACATGTTTTATGTGAAGATGTTCACGTCTGAAATTGCGGCCCCTGTTTGTATGGCTGCAACCACGGGTATGTTTTGAGGTTGTTGCATACGTGTTGTTTCAGTTTGTTCTGGCGCGTTCTTTGCATGGTTTTCGCGAAGCACACAGATAAGCAGATGCATTGTGGAATGAGTGCTGCGTCCTGGGGCTCGGGAAATGCAAAAACATGCAAAACCTCATACGGTGATATACTTATTACCTGCGTGGACGGGGGCGTTTCGCACATTTCTTGCATTCTGGCAGAAGGCCAAGGGAATCGAATGCTTGCATCACCTTTCAATGCAAAAAAAAAACATGCACCACTGGAATGCGAAACAAAACAACAACCGCACTCTTGAATGTTGCTTACACATTCCAAATGCCAAGCCAGCCACAGAAGAACAAAGCTGGCAACCTTTTCTTGTGGCCCTCGTGGCCTATATGATCTAGTAGTCGATAAACATCAAGCAAATCAGAACTGCCAGAGCAAATCCGAAAGTTGTGAAACCTATGGATAGCTCCAAATGCCTATCCGTACAAAGCATTAGAAGCATGCGGCAGCCACATTCCAAGCATTGGTTGAGAATTGAGGGAGCTCTGGCAATATCGCGGTGATGAAGAACAGCATCTAAAGATGCTGATGATGCTGGCCTACCCCGGCCGGCAGTGCAAATGTGGTTGGGGGCCGGTAAATACGCGCGAAGAGGAGGCTTGAAGCCAAACAAGCCAACTACTACCTCTTGTTGATTGCCGGCGCACTAGACTAGGACAGGTAGATGGTGGGGGATGGGACATCTGACTCTGGCTACACGGCTACACCAGGCGCTGTGGAAAGGGGAAGCTTGCTGATGCAAACGCCGAATCCTGTCTGCCAGACTTTTCCTTGGAGTCTGGCTGCCAAAGACCAAAGACTGCAAAGACATCCTGACCCGCAAGATAATTACCTTTCCGACCTGGCACATTTGGCAGTTGAGCGGAACTGCTTTTCCAGAAAAGCGCCAACTTTCGCTGAAAAGTGTGTTCCTTTAGCGTCTTCGTTTGTCGCGGAGCCTGTTTCTCAAATGGTCGCCTCAAGTATAACCGGAACCCTTAGAACAACCCTCTGGGGTCTAAGTCTAAGCTGCCCAGCCCCAAGCAACTTTTTTTCAAGCTCCCTTTGCCGAAGTGTGCTTTCAAGCCCAACTCACAAGCACATTGCAATCCTTGCTCAGTAGGGCTCTGGCGCTTAAGATTGCCTGATGGTGATCATTCAGGTGCCAGTGCACCTTGGCAAGAATCTAAATCGTACAAGACTAGCATGCATTGCTTGTGGTCTATTACTTCTACCTACTAGAACATGTCAGAGCTCTGAGCGTCCATCCAGAGATGCGAGCCAGGGGTCTTGTGCTCTTTGCGCCCGTGGCAAGAGGTCATCGTTGAGCACCTCCATGGGCTACACATGTCAATGCATCAACAACAAAGAGCCAGTGTCTCACACCAGTAGTTATGACATGTTATGCAAGCCATCTTTCAAGTTGAAGGACCAGTGCATCTGCGCACGAGAAGCAGATTTGGGATTTGGCTGAACCATGCCCACCCGCTGCCGCTCTGCAGCAATGTCAGCGTCACCAAGCTCCATGTGGCGTGCAATAAGCCTAAGGAAGCATCAGAGCACTTCCATAAGCACCTGCAAGAAAAGCCAGGCACCCAACAAGGCCAATGGCCAATCATCCATGTAGCGTACGCAGACCTTTGACATGACAATTCATTCTGGCCAAGCTTCCCTTCTATTGCTGCTTTTACCAGCATGAGGTATTTGTTCCGGCCCAAGTTACAAGGTCAGTGAAACAGTGAGACGACATCAGCACGAAGTTGTGGGTGGTGGAAGCAGAGAGGCCAATGCAAGAGCCACCAGGCTCCGACTTCCACTTCAATCTGATGAGCACCGCCAATCCTTGATCACCAAGCTACAGAGTAGCCATTTTGCTGCTGCAGGATCATGCCCTCGAAAGCTCTTGAACACCCTTGACGGTCGCAATCCCTCCCGCGGCAATCCAAAGACCGTTGAAGCTGTTCGCCAGTTCTCAATCAAAACAACTAAGAGTACGTCCCATGGCCGTTCAACTTGCAATTCTGATGCTGACGTCAATGCTGGCTTCTGCATTTCCGCTCTCTTTCAGCTTCAACTTCCCAGCAAAGCCATTGGGAAGAATCATGTCCATGGATATGACCACCTTTCCCAGTACTTCCGTCCCAGTGACATCACGATCTAAGACGGACAGCAGCAGTGACTGCTCTGGGGCCAACTTCAGCTTCCTCGTCATGTTCCAGACAGGCTGGCTGCTGTCCTCGACGACCTCCGTCTGAAACTTTTGGTCGGTGCCCGGTACTTCAACCACGCAAAACGCATCGGATCCACCTGACCTGCCAAAGGACCAGTCAGCATTGCGAAGTCCAGAAGCAGAGCGAACCGTCACCTCGACCTGCAGGTTTGGGGACAGCTAATAGTAAAGCGCTAGCAGCTAGTTTCGCCAAGCAGCAGGCCTGACGAGGTATGGGACGAGGTTGCGCTTGAGCTTGGCGAGGTGGCAATGGGGCTGCCGGCACCGTTGGCACCTGCCCTGCTGCATTTACCTGCGTCGCAGCCCTGATCGGCGATTTCACCCCTGCTGCTGCTGCTGGTGTGGTCCGACCAGGAGACAGGACCCGGACAACGATGACGAGCTCTGCTGGGGACCCTTGATGACCTTCCAGTTTCATGGAACCACTAAAGCCTTCCGAGAGTATGCCAGAGACATCTAGCGACACGCTACCCAGGAGTTCGTCAGTCCGCTGGTCTTTGTCAAACACTTTGAACACAAGCGTTTCCTTCGGCCCGACAGAGATCTTCTTTGTAAAGTTCCACTCGGGGTCGCTGCAATCCTCAACAACCGGCGTCTTAAACTCCGTCGTTGTACCCGGAACGCTCACTGCAACGTAAGCATCTGACTTCTTGGACTTTCCAAGGCCCCAATCAGCATCTCGCAAGCCCTTTGCAGCCTTCACTGTAACCTCAAGATCATGCATTTTCTGCGGCTTTGGTGGTGGAGGTCTGCGGGCCTGTTGCTTGGTAGCCTTCAGAGAATTGGCCACGGCCTCTGCGTCGTGGAGAGGTCTCAACTTACAGCGAATCTTCAAAAAGGCCGTAGCTTTTCCAGTTTCCTGCAGCTTCACTTCACCGTCAAAGCCACTTGGCAGCAGTTTCGCGACTGGCAGAGATACCTTACCAAGCAGGTCGTCAGCATCAGCAGTGTCACGGTCCATCACCGTGAACATCAGCATCTCCTTTGGATAGAGCACCAGCTTCTGAGTCTTGTTCCACACCGGGTTGCTGCTGTCTTCCACGACGTCTGTCTGGAAGCCCCGGTCGCTGCCTGGAATCTCTACTGCACAATAGGCGTCGGAATGGCCAGATGATGTCAAGCTCCAGTCCGCGTTGCGCAAATCCCTCCTTGGTCAAGGCTGCTTCAAGTGCCAAAACCCGAACAAATATAGCGTTTGCAAGTTTTGGTGCATGATGCTCAACAAAGGCCGAGCATCGCTGAGAGGATTTGTAGGAGAGCTTCGTACGCCAAAGGCTCAGCTGGAGATGTTGTAGCAGCCTCACAGATCTCCTGATTGTCCGCTTTGGATGCGGCATTTGAGACTTCAGCAATCTTCGGGCTCTCTGACACCCTCTTCGGAATAGCTTCTTCCCTGGCTTCAGCCACCACTGGCTCTGGCTGCTCGACCACCACTGACTCTGGCGGCTTAACATCTGGAGTCACCTTGGCTAGTCAGATTCGAAGTATCGGCCGGCCCATACCCTGCCCCCTGACAACCTACACTAACCCGATGGCCTCGGGCTGTCCAGCTTTCGTCGTGCTGGGCTCTTTTGGTTCGACAACCTGGTAGTGTACCCAATAATTCTAGGAAGCCAAAGTACACGGGGCTTGGTCGCTACTAGCGACATTGTTCGAGAAGGGTTTTGCCTGCCTGAAGCTTCTCTTCCTTTGCGTCTTTCTCCATCTCTGTCTCTGCTTTCGCTGGTGGAGCCTGAGGAGGTGGATCCTGAGAAGCGGAACATGGCCCTTTGGACTTTGAACTTTGGAGACTTCCACTATCTTTCACTTAGTGATTCGTGAGTCTTTGCGAGCTTGCCTGCGGTTCAGGCTTTGTCTCCTGCTCTTCAACCTCTTCAAGGGCCTCCTGAGCTGCAACATCTGGACACACTGGCAAAACACGTTTAGCCTGTAAGCCTGCTCCCGGCCATTTAGATTTTAACCCTATGCCGGTCCAGCTCGACATCGCTGTCATCTGCAGGCGCAGACTGCACTGGAGGCAAGGACTTCAGCAACATGGCAGTCGACCGCCATCCCTGCGCTTCTGCCACATCTTCTGGCAGCCACCCAGCATCATCCCTGGCTTCTGATGAACGCGCAAAGCATCGCTGTGCCCCTTGACCACCCCAGCCTTGTGTGCAAAGTTGCTGGCACAAAGAGGTAGAGCATACGGAGCACCGAATCCTGCCCAGGACGTGTGTCGGACAAGATCCATGTGCGGGATTGCCGCGCCCCGCCTGTCCGGTCTCTGCAGCTTCGTGCGCCGGGCATCGGCCATGCAGATCCCGAGCAGAAAGCGCGGTTGGTGCCAGCTCCCACAGCAGCATCCTGACATCTTGCAAATCTAAAAGATTCTGGAAGCCGGAACGGTTGCCTTCCGGGCCGAAAAGGTCTGTGATCACTTCTTTGCAAAGGGTAGCAAGCGATCATTGTGTTTGATCGCGTGCGAAAAATGTTTTGTGCCCATCCTTGCTCGACCCCAAAGCTGCTTTAGCTTGGTGGGTGCTTGCGACAAGGGCCAGCTGCATTGCAACGTGAGTGAAAAGAGGGCTTGAGGCAGATTCATCTAGCAAGCTGCAAGAACAAATGCCAACCCCTCGGTGCTTCGGAGTCTGAACTTTTGGCTCAGCTGCATAGTCTCGATCTGCCCACTGAAAGCTGCGTCATGTGTCGGCATGGCACCTGGTGACACGAAGCATGTCTCGCGCAGGGGCCCACGCTTGATGAAAGCCTTCCCTTTATGTGATGCACTGATTTCAATACCTGCCTGTCGTTGACGCTTTCAACAGACTGCCCTGGTCTTTCTTGTGAAGGAACAGCAACACATCATTCTGACCTTACAGGGGGAATATCTAGCTCTGCGTCCTTATCTTGCTCTGATCTCTTATGCAGTGGGCCTTGGAACGCAGCATCATGAGCAGGAGTTGCACCGTTTCGCGCACTTGCAGTCAATGTGTCGGGAACCAGCGAGGACAGAAGCTCCAAGACTGCCACCTTCACAAGCGGCATCGGAAGCATCATGGGCACTGTGGGGACCTGGCTTACAGGCTGATCATGACGACGTGCCTGGCCACTCAAAGCTGCCCAGTGCGCCGGCGTGCGTCCATCCAAGGCGGAGCGACGCAAACTCTCTGGGTCCTTTCGTCGGGAAGTGCGAAAACTATCTACAGCCAACATTATCCGTCCCTCTGTGCCCTACACTACAAGTCTGTCCATGCTGTGGAGAAGCTCCAAAGTGCGAACCTTGCCCTGATGAGCAGCGACATGCGCTGCCCCATGGCATTTGGCAGTTGCCCCACGAGGGGCGGACATTGCATCATGGCGCCGGTCTGTGAAGAAGCACCATAGGGAGCTGTCGGGGTGGGGTATCTGAAGCTTGAACAAGTGCACAGGTTCTGCAAAGCACGCGCAGAGCATCTTCTGTGAACCGTTGGCTGTTCGGTCCATGTCTGCAAAGCGGAAGCTGCATGTCACTTTGCTGGGCCACCTGCATCAATGGCATCGCGTGCTCTCTGAGCAAACACGAAGAAGGCGCATGCCAACTCGAATCGGCGCTGGCGCACCTGAGGACTGGGAGCAACAAGGTTTTGGGGCTACCCCTTAGCATGCTGAGCGAGGCTATGGACACATTCCTGTGCGGATTTTTTCAAGTGCAGCAGGCACAGCCCTAGCCATCTCCATGGATGCTGTCCACCAAAAGGTAAGTCCATGACCAGCTCAAAGGCATTTTTCTCAGCCTGAGTTTAAGTCTAAACACTGTCACTGGGTTCACGAAGAGTGCCTGCTGCGAAGGGGCCTTCGTCCTCCAGGGCTCTTCAGCGAGGTCGTTGGCAAGGAAATCTGCGACCCGTTCTTGCTTGGTTTGCCGATAAAGCCTTGCCAAGGAAAGGTTCTGGTGTGGACGGAGACTAGAACGAGATATGATCATCGTGGCCTTTCGCACCCTCTTTAGAAAGCATCTATCAGGTGCTTGCGATAAGTGCGGGCTGTGGGGGCACGACCAGCAAGCTTTTGATCGCCGCTGTTGGAGCGCGTATCCGTCAGCTTCAGCGCAGTTGACAGACTTTGGACTTTGGAGATAGGAATTGAAGTACGGACATGCTTCTGGTTGCAGCACAAGATGACTGTCTGTCCCCTTCTGCGGCAAGGCTCAGTTCCGGCCACTTGAATCAAGTTTTCCAGCAAGGGCCGGAAACCAAGGAGGTATCAGGGCAAAAACCACCGGACTGTTCTTACTGTTGCAGGAAATTGTTGCTGCACTCAAGCTATCCGTGTCGTTTTTCAAATACTTTACGAATCACTCTTTACTTCAACAGCTGCATTGTCCTACTTGCCTTAGTCTAAAGACTTCAGCCTGAATCTGTGCTGCTTGGCAGCTGGCAGGTCTAATTGGAAGTTTACTGTTGTGAGCTGCTTCGTGTTGCTGGACGAAACACTTTCGTATCTGGCATGTGGCGGCGTCATTTGTGCAGATCCGAGCCAATGAGGCTCATGTGGTGCCCAGTCCCTCGCTCGTGGTAGCGTCATCCCTATTGAGTGGGTATTTTGCCCAAGACGTCTGGAAAGCTGTATACACATGAGGCAGTGGTAACTGGTAGTGGTGTCAGTTCTGTCTGCACGGCCTTTCCGCGTCCTGGGCGTCTCCAGGCTTCGAGTCATGCATTGAAAGCGACTCGGCCCTTGCTCAGCACAGGTGGACCAAAATTTTCCCACTGAGGGAGTCAGCAGCGACCTCTCAAAGCACTGCACTGAGAGGAGGGATGCCCAACAAGCAAACAACTCGGTAAACTACTGAATACGAGTTGCTTCCGGGCTAACGCTGACAAAGCACTTCGCATCCCCACAACCCAGCAACCAGACATGAATTCGAAGCTGGGCCGCGCGGCCATCATAGCTATTGGAAAAGGCAAGGCCAAAATCAGCATTGTCAAACTTCACGTCTTCTGTTCACCTTCTCTGACCAAGTCCATCAGAGGGCATGCCTCCCTAACTGCTCAAGCCCTCTCCATATGCACGGCTTGCAAGAGTTGCCCATGGCTCGTGCATGGGACGATGCGTGGGCATCTATTTGCAGGCACAAATGGCCTCAAAGGCTGAGACTACAAACTCCGTTAGGCTCAAACATGATCAACCAACATCGCCAGTGAAAGCGAGTGGTTGTTCCGAAAAATGTGCAGGGCGGGTTCCCGAATTCTCGCAGCCTCCATGGCGGCTTGGAACATCTCTACATCGCACTGTACGAAGTCGGAACTCCCTTCAAACTTTAGCAGAGTCTGCTTGGCTGCCCTTCGTCCCGGAGTCAAGAAAGAGGGGTTGCCGGGGTGCGGACACTGCCGTGCCTACTTTGGGGCAGTGTGGGCCTCAAAAATCAAAACTGCAGATGACAAGAAGTTTGATTGGTAATTCGGACCTGCTCCAAGCAGATATCCGCTTCCTTAGAAACTTCTGAGAACTATCGTTCTTCGTGCCACTCACTGAGACCTGACATCGCCAGCAAGATCATCTGAAAGCTGTCGGACCTTAACATCCCTGCTGCACCTGGAGCGCCGCTGGCTGCCATCCTGGTTGCTGAACCTGGGAAGTCTGTGAAAAGAGTCCGGGTTCTTTTCCCGTGCAGACGTCCAAAAGAAAGACAGGGCTCGCACTGAATGAAGGTTCGCTGCACGGGGAGGTTGGCGGCTGGTCCTGGCAGAGCTTGAATTCTGCTTCACCCCTAGAAGAACAAGTATCAAGTGCCCATATCCTCACCCGGCCTTGAAGAACAAAACTCGCGTTAGCGTGAACAGTTAGAAACAGCTTTGAAGGACATGGTTCAAGCGCCCAAGAGACTTGTGCCCCTGCCTGTGCTCTGCATGCTGTCGCAGCCTGCAATGAGTTTCTATCATGAAGCCGAATGGTAAGTCTGAGGTGCGCGGATTGAAGTTGCAGAATTGCTAGCTGCTAATTGCTTCATGCAATTTGTCTGGATGTTCAAAGGAAAGGGTGCATGCACGCGCAGCCTGCTCCCTCAGATACGGTACCTGGCACAGCCGCTGCAAGGACTCGTGCCCGCAACGCAATGACCCCCTCTGTCTCTCACTGACTGCAGCAGAACGGCGTTGGAATCTGAAGCCCTGGTTGGGGCCAAGATCGAAGTCATCCTGGAGGAGCTGTTTTTACGTGACAGACCTGCTGGTTTTCCCAGTTTTGCAGTCCTGTGGCGCGAAATAGGCATTGTTCACATACGGCATTTGGGCCATCGGTGCCTTGCACAGATATCAGGTAGCAGGAGCCGTGACAGCTAAACTGAAGCCCGACCTGTGGCTTCTGGCCAATCGGAACTGTAGCCTCCGGCACCTGAACTTGCTCCTGGAACTGTCGCACGTCCTGACCAAATCTCAAGGAGATACAAACTCGAAATGCGTGTCTTCCGTCCTGGACGGCACACACCGTCATTCCACAATTCCAGCGCGGCATTTGCTGCACCTGCGGCATTTGTACTTGGCCAACTTGGCCCAGCCTGCAGCGGAACTCATACTTGGCGTGCATTTCACAAGAAGGCATGATGCGTGACTCGAGCACGCTCTGAACAAAACGTGAGCCATGCTGTGCCTTGGTCCTGGAGCTGGAGCCATCTGAGCACCGAGTGGTTGCACCTTGCAAATTGCAAATTGCACTTGCAACTTGCATTTGCAGTGCCCCTTGGTTCCCACATGCCAGGTTGCCCGGCCATCCACACTGGCACGGCAACAACTTGCGAGGGCGAGGCTTGCGCGGGCCTAGCAGTAGTGCTCAAAGAGCAGGTCGCAGATGCTGTTGAGTTGATCCTGCTCTGCGTCTACTTCTTGAAAGCCGATTCAATGGCGCCTGGTTGGAGCAGCACCGATGGGAGCCTGGTGCCAGGTAGCATTGAATGACGGTAAGGGAGATTTGTGAGTCAAAACGCTGAGCCGTGCGCTCGGTTGACAGGGCCTGCAAGGCTGTCACTTTGTTCAGGTAAAGTGCCTCATGCCTTTCTCAATGAACCAGAACCTCCACCTGTCCCCCGCACGCTGTTACGCTGTACAAAATGGCGGATTTTCACAGGTAGTCTCGCTGCCTGTGCCTCTGCGCTGCGTGCGTGCAGCCTCGTCCTGTCGCACGCGCTGTGCCTCCCAGAACTCAACAGCCGGGAGGCCATCATTTTTGAAAAAGGCTAGCTGCTCGTTCATGAGTAGAATTTGCCCTCCAAAACAGGAATTAAGGCATCATTGCTCACTGATTCATCTCCGCTGCCTCAGCAGCAACGTGAAATCGCTCCATAGCCACTTCGAACTCCTGCTTCACGTGCAAAACGTCTAAGCTCTTGGTTGCAATGGCCAGAACACAGGCCGCACACCTGAGCAAAGCATGTCCTGCTTGTTGAGCACGGCTCCCAACTTTTTGTGCAAGCGCTGGCGGACACGTCTCCTTAAATTGTTAAGCAACCCTGCGCAGAGTCAAGTTCTTGAGAGATGGCTGGCTTCGGTGAACCCAAAGTTTCTGCCGGGCGTCTTCACGGCACGATTCGGCGCCTCGGCGGTGGCTGCCACCGCAGTGCGAAGCAGCTCATCCACGAGGGTGTCAGTGGCCTCTTGGAGCGAGTTTTGCCGGCGCATGAACTTCTTTCTGTCCATGTCCCTAATAAAAAATCTGTTTGTAGTAATAGTAATAGTAATGATACTAATAGTGATAATCCAGTAATTACTACTGAAATTAGTAATGAAGAGTAGGAGTAGTCGTAGTTGGGCCCGCGCAGCCTTGGCCGCCTGCTCGGACGTGCCCACGGTCTCAACCTCCGAATGGTATGAAGGACAAGTTAGCCATAGTCTAAACTCCTTAAAAAGGTTTTATAAGGGATTATATTATAGGGGAGTACTGTACGGGCTTTTTAAGGGGGATATTGGGAGTTTAGACAGTAGCTCAGGTGTCCATTGCATGGGCAAATGTTGGCATGCAGGACTTGGACACATCAGAAACAACTTGATGCCAGACTTGGCTCCAGAATCCGAAAATGGGACTTCCAGACCTCTAGGCAGCTTCAAGCACAACTATGCCCGGGTAATGGCAATAGCAATGGTAATAATAACAATAACAACAACAATAGCAATATCAATAATAGTAATCTCAATAATAACCATAATACTAAGAGTAATAGATACCGTGATGCAGCCTTTGGTACGTTGCTTGAGATGTGGCAGTCGCAGGTGAGGCTGCCATCCACCTTGTGGGCACAAGAGGGTTTAAGGCTCAAGGTTTAGGGTATAGGGTACTACTATTAATTATTACTGTTGTTACTAGAATGAATATTGGTAGAGTTGTTGTGAGATGAACTCATGTTCTCATCGGCAGACACCTCAGGTTATCTATCAACAAGCATTTCAGCAACTAAGCGCAGCGCGTTCACAGCTCCCAAGCACATTTCCTTGTTGCGATCAAACTACGCACTGCTCTTTAGGTTTACATTCTCCTTATCCTGCCGCTACTACACTGAATGAGCCTTCCTGCCTCCTAATATCTGCTAATCCAGCAAAGTAATCATTGTACATGTGAAGAGTTTGATGCTTTGCTGCTGCTGCTGCTGCTGCTGCTGTTGTTCATGTTGTGGCCGCAGCTTCAGCCGCGGTTCTCAACTCAATGTCGTCATTCGTTATTCTGATTCCTGCCTTTCCACCTCGTACTTCCAGCGGTGATGAAAGCTCAACTGCCAGTCCTGTCACTAGTCCGTCGAAGCTGCATCCAAGAGGCGACCGTGTGCACTTGCCGGGACTTCAGATTCCCTTTCTCGCAAAAAAAACGCGCAAGCCACAAAAATGCTGCGGACGGACGCAGGCTCGATAGGAATCTAGAGCCAGCATCCCAGAACCTCCCACGTCTTTGGAAGTCTCTGAAATTGGACTTAGCTTGACGTACTTCGAATAATCAGAAAATATCTTCCTTGTACAAGAACGATCATACTTTCGACACTCCGAGCTTCATCCCATGCGGTGCCCAAACATCTCAGATGATCAGCTCTGCAGCACTTGGTGCACAAATCCCTGAAAACCATCAAAACCAAACAGCTCGTTGAGACAAGTTTAAGATACTTCGGGAGAATCTTGCAAGGCGATCACATGCGCCGCAGCACCCTGTATCGCAAGCTTGGACACTGAGCTCATAACGCAGCAAGTAGAGTCCGTCTTCCCATCAGAGCGTACCACAGCGCAACAGACTCCGGCTGAATCTCCTGGCACTAGCGAGTGAACGACAAAACCCTTCCTCTACCAAGAGTGCTGGCCAATCCCAATCCTTCTCCGCGCCGTTCTGCCTGCGAAGGAGACTGCGAGGGAGCTGTTCCAGCACCTGGCTTCCGCTTCTTGACTCAATGAATTCAGGAACATGTTCGCACCTGTGACCTGTGAGCATAATCGTGTTGAATCCCTCTTGCTTGCTGGGGACACACAGGTACAATATAAATCATACTCATAGCAGTAATAATACTAATCATATAATGAATATGATCATAATAACAATAACCACATTATTTGTACTAGCACAAGAACAACAATACTAACAACGACCTTCTTCAGCGCTGCAAGGTCGCGCAGCCACAGCCCCAGCCCGACGTGCCGCAACGCCTCAGCTCTGTGAGAATTTCCACATTTTATGGGGGTTAGATCGGGATTACGTGGGGTATATGAAGGTGTATGAAGATTATCTACATACGGATGTGTGAAGATCATATAGGAAATATACATAGGGAATTTGAGGGGATTCTATATCGGTGCTGCAAGAGTTCTATAAGAACTACAGGAATATGGAATGAATTCTCGGGTCTCCCAATTCAGATGGGTATCCCCCAAAATTAAAGATCCCCCATGTTCGCATGCTGCACGAACAGCTACCAACATGACAACTCACGTTGGCTGGCGCTGCTCTCCTCAGCAGAGGCTTTTCAAATGCGTGGTTTCAGGAATCCTCACACTCAGGTGCACGAGAGACACACGGGGCACCAAGTTGCACTTTCGCAGGGGTTCCAAAAGCTTGAACACTGCTGCATACCGCTGCAATGGCGGCCTCCTTGTCTGCTGCACTAACGTTAGCAGCATTTTGGCTCACTGCTTTTGCAGCATCCGTGGCTGTGCAGTGGTGCGGAGACCCTTTCTCGGGTGGGGTGCCATGAACCGCTCCTTCAACGCATCCCAGATCCCGTCGGACCCCAATATGTGAAAGTCCATGCCCTCGCCAATTGAATCCTTGCACACTTGAGGATTGAGGGACGTGCAGACTACCCTGCACCTTGTTGCTGGTCTCGTAACGTGGTTTTCCAAACGCCCGGAAGACCGCAACATGCTCTCGTAGCGACCGTTGGGCCTTGTTGCCCTCATTGCAATTTGCATTTCACAGGCACTATGCAGGCAACGGTGCCGGAGGAAATCATCACGTCAACCGCTTTGCCACTTCCAGCCGCAAGCGCCTTCGCTAGCTCCGAGTCGATAGCCCTGAAGTTCTGGCTGATGGCGATTTCTACATCGTGTTCGTCACGAAGATGAGTTGCAAGGATCCCAGGAAGGATTTGCTCAACCAGACGCACAGCTTTGTCCCCAGCATGTCCATCATATACGCTGAACAAACGGAACCCGCAACATCCTCCTTCACGTCTATAGATCTTCCGTCCGGCAGCGCTCATTCTTGCTGACCACCCAGCCATAGTCTGAACTGCCACCACTGCCTTCTCCCGGCAGCAAGACGGTATCCTTCCCTCTCCGAAGGAATGTGCAGAACTGGCATGAACGCCAAAAACGCTGACGGTGCCCAAAATGCCCAAGCAAGTAACTAGCGGCTTGGCAGCTGGGAACCTTTCCACGAGAAATGCCTTTAAAGCTCTGTCCGTGGCACATGTGCGCATTCAATCTCTTTTAACCTGACGTGGCCTCGAACTCAGACCCAGAACTGTGCAGCTCGCGAAATGTGGATGTTAAAATATCCACAATGCAATTCCCGGACCCCGGCAGACAAGAAATATTCCTATGTTGTCTGGCATCTCTGTGAGGTCCACACCAGCCAGTCCAGGTCGGGGCCCAGCACCTTAGGAGCTCAAGCCCAGCAAAGAGGGTTTGTGGTTCAGGGCTTAGTGAGCATGGCGTTTGAGATCCAATGGATTATTGCAGGTTTGTTGATTGAATCTGCAGAAAAACTATCTGGGAGAATGCTAGGGATAAATGATAGGAAGGCTTTCTCCAGGTTGGGGTCCTTGCCATTGGAGCGCATTGCCGGATACGCGGTCCCCTTGAATTTCATAAAAACCAGCTGCCAAGAAGCCTCCAGAACTCTGTCCACAAGGGTGCCCTGGCAATCCGAATGAAGTGCCCAACATAGGTCCTGCCAGGTTATATTAGGGCTATACTTGGGTTATACTGGGGTTATATTACCACTATATCGGGGTTATGTTGTGGTGGCCACATGGACAACTTGCAAGGATCCAACGAGCGTGTAAGACATATGCATCGAACAAGCGTTCACATTTCACAGAGAGGTCCCTTGTGCATGTGGCCCTTATAATCAGTTAGCCCTATAATACTCCCTTATATAATCCCCTATATAGCCCATGTTCAAGGAATGTAGACTACATGTCATATACACACAAAAATGTTCCTTGTAAACCCCGAAAAACAGTGCAGGCTTCAAGTCTCCTCGGAGCTAAGGTGCAGGAGAAAAGCTTCGGAGTTTGCTGAAGTCAGGTGCCAGCCTCAGATATGTAGGTACTATGTGAGAAACTCCTTGAAAGGTATAGGAAACAATATAGGAGAGTATAGTAGGGGTTATATGAAGGGGGATACTAGGAGTTCAGACTGTACAAGTATAGCTCATGTAGGTATTTAGGATTTAGGCTTTAGAGCTTCGATGGAGTTCTATGCGGTTTAGATTCGTTGGGTTATCTAGAGCAAAACAGGAAGACTGTGAGCATGTTCCGTGAGTTCTCCAATCAATAGACTGCTTCGGGTAAGGGTTGGGTTACTCTGGATCGGAGCCGCACTTACCACAAGAGGAACTAAGAGCTGTAATTTAGGAATAATCAAGGCATGGCATGGACATCGTGAGATGGTCAGCCATTTTGAAGTCGGTACAATAATATCTTAGTTCGGGGTACATGGCAGATCTATCCATGCCTGTCTGTTTGTATGAATCAGTGCTACAAAAGTCTGTTGCTGTCGAAATACTTGAATCAGGAGCAAAGATGAAACCAAAATGAAAACCAAAGCAACAAAATCCTGAAGCCTTAGGGCAGGCCTTTCTGTGCTATTGCTCTCAGTTCTCCTCCAGGCCAGGACTCACAAGGCCCAGGCGTCGCACAGCTGCATGGATCTCGAATGCCTGGCGAAGAGCCCCCCCATCCTCCTCCAGCACCTACCTACTTCATGCCCTGCCATATGAAATCTTCAAACAATTGCTTTCCAACGTGATCACACAAGGAGATGATGACTGTTGCAAGCCCAGGTACAGCTGTGAGTCACAAGTCCCTCTTGCAGGCTTAGCGGCAGAATGCAGAACATTCAGGGAACCTTCATGAAGCGCTGACCGCATTCATCCAGGTCAGAGGCATGGGGTGTGGCGCCAATGTTCTGCCTGCCATCACAAACAGGATTCAAGCCAAGCACCTCTGGGTGTGATCTTGGAAACCATGAGTGTCGAAGTCCAGTTGGTGTACGGTGAAGTGTGCGAACCCCTCTCTTTGGGGGTCTAGAACACTCATCATCAGGACTCCACGTTCCAAGACATTGCTCAATTCTTGCCAAAAGCTGCCCCGTCAATCAGGTCAGCAGCACAGCAGAACAAGAAGCTGCGCCTGGTTTCCGATGGTGAATGAGGGGTGGCAAGTGGGCAGGGTTTGTCTTGCGACAGCAATATGGATTTCTTGCCCAATCTAGCCCTTAGAGGTCCTTGTCTAGAATTCATCCAATTACAGCCAGCAGGTGCTGTTGTCGCCCATGTTTCTCTCAGCCCCAAATTTCAACACAAGTTTGGGGCAGTACGCTACGAAGATAGCATCATTGGTGGCAGTTCTGAAAGCATTTCATCAGTGCACGGAGCATGTGAGCAGCAACCGACCTTTCTGCGAAAAGTGCATTCAACATGCTGAAAACCGCTGTCTGCGACTCAAGCATCCTATCAGGAAAGTGCGCTGTACATGTGCTTGAACGGAGACTGCTTAAAGGCAAGTAGGTGCCTTTTAATGCCAGCTAACTGCTGGAGTGAGGTCTGTGCTGATGCCAGGCTGTAATCCGGGCTCATCCGCTAACATCCGTCAGGCCTGAGGGAAGCGAAAGCTTAGCCATCGCTTCCCAAACCGTCATACGTGCAGCAGATGCAAGCGGTCAACAGAATACCGAAACCCAGCAGCATGTGAAAATGCATGCTGGAGTTGCAGGTGGTATCAAACACACCTCGAACTAGATGCTCAGGTTTGGAGGCCCTCTGTACCTCCCGGCATTCCCACTCATGGAGGCTCTCCCTCTTGAGGATGAGAGCCATCGAAAGCCAGGAGCGGCGAAGCAGTCTCAAGGCTCAACCATAGGGCTCACTTAGATGTAGGTCGGGGGGTAGTATATCCAAAGATTCTGCAATCCGCATCTATAAGCTTAGCCCTATAAGCAGCACTGCTACATTCAACAGCACATCTATGTCAGCTTCAGCTTATCCCCTGCAAGCAGTTACTGTTGTACATGCAGCTCTCAGCCAAGCGGGACTCCAAAAGCCTTCAGGATTCTCAGCTAGCGCAAGGCCCCCTGTCAGCTGGAGCCTTGGGCCGCTGTACAACCGTAGCAGTGAGCAGCAGTCAGAATCGCCTTGGAACTCACCAGCTGCTAAGGCATGCAATGGTTCCTCGAAACAAGGGTCTGTTCAGATGTACCCGTACAGTACCGGCATAGGTTTTCATTTTTGCTTACAGTGAGTGAAGACCATTCCAGGTAGATAGGTAGATGAAGCCAACAGGCTGAGGCCCCAGCAGACTTCTGCAGCTTTGGATCGTTCAGGGTTTCCACGTCAAAGACGCTCAGGCCACCCCCAAGACCTGGGGCTCGTAAAAATCGAAGTTCCGTTCGACGTTGCAGGATGCCTGGGGGCTATGATGAGGTAATCTCAAGAAACTCCCGCCTAAGTCCAGCTGCTGGTTGAAGTCGCAGTCGTACCTTCGATGATTGAATAGGCTTCTGGCTGGATTAGCGGAGGCTGTAGGGGGATTTGAGCCGCTTCTTCAGCTTAGGAACATCTTCCCGTCCCAGCCAACATTGACCGTGTTGGTGCACATGAGATCCGCGACCGTGTCTTCGTTGAAGTTGCGAACTAGCAGGTCCTCAGCAGATGCAGCTTTGATTGCCACACTGCCCATGATTTCTTCTGATGCGGTCTTGGCCTGATGAGAGACATCCTGTCAGAAAATCTTCAACAACCAAGTATCCATGTAGCCCTCCAGCGTGCCTGCGCAGGGACGACATCTGCTCGGGGTCTGCTATTGCAAGACATTGCAATGAGATGCTCTCCGCAATGACTCCAGAATGTCCGCCCACCTTTCTTGCGCAAGAAATCGAAATATCGCTTGATGGGCATATTGGCGATGGTAAGTAGACCTCAGACTCAACACGTTTAAGCATGCCGGCCCTTCCTGCAAGGCGAGGCTGACCAGACCGACGCTTCAACATTATTTGAGGTTGCTAGGCCCAGCCATGCCCATATGTCACAGCTTCAGAGACAGCATGGCATTGTTGCACAATGCCAAGTGGCTGTCAAACTTCACGCCATAGGAATTTTCGAGCTCCTGCTTGTACTTCATCTCAAGCCTTGCTTGTTGGGGATTCCGCTGCGCTTGTTGCCGGGCCTTCTAATCCAATGGCTTTGTCCCTGGGCTCAACTTGGATTATCCACAGCCAGGAGGCCTCTTGCACGTATGGTAACTGAAAATTAAATGGGTCGATGTTTGCAGCTAACCTTCAAGTACTCGGCAAAGGACCCCATCAAAGGAATCGCCAAGATTTCGATGCCCGAGGAGCTGTTGCTGCTTGGGCGGTAGGAACGGCCCGGGCGGATTGAACACAAGATCGAGGCGTCGCCCGCCCTGACCTCGGGAAAAGACTCAGCTGGATCAGGTTGGAAGTTGCTGGACTAGTGCTGACGCTAGGTTGGCCATTGCTGAAGTCCTATTCACTTGATTTCTTGCGTTGTGATGAAACCATGCAAGCATCTGAATGTAGATGAGGCACCTGATCCGTAGCCGTGCTTGTTCAATATACGGAGGCCCTGCAAGTGAGAAGAAAAGCGGATCTGACCATGTAGCTTTGAAGCGGGATGCCTGAATGCTCCTTTCGAAGACTTTTCTTCCGCGCTGCCTTCACAGTGCTAGGATTCTTCAAGCTTCCACCGATTTGCCGAGGTGGTAGTTTCCATAAATCGGGGGACCCCGATCTAGACCCCAAAATACTATAATTCTTTTTAAATTCTGGGAAACCCGAATCCCTATAAACCAGCATATAATCCCAGCGTCCATTGCATTTTCCGTCATCTTTTCCAATTGATTCTCCATTATTGGGGGACGATATCCCTAAATAGCGCGCAAAACCCTCATTCCTAAACTCGAAATAGTAGTCTTCATTCTCTTTGCATTATGTATATCTATATATGTATACACACATTTCGTTTCCCTTAAGTAGATAGAATATGGGGTATATGGGGATCTTATTACAATGTATCCAAAGCCACATTCCATCTACTTAAGGGGGCTACATATATGTGTGTATGTATATATATATATGGGGGACAAGATCCATAGGCCTGTCAGTTTGATCTGGCTCGTAGCTCGGCAGCGAGGCGATGATGTCGACCCCTGAAATTGGGGTCCAAATTTGGCTGTGGATATTATATACATACAATATATTTACTTTTTTCAATGGGACCTTTTCTCCGCCGACATAGGGTTTAGGGTTTAGGGAAAAATGGGACCCTAACTTTGGGAACTACCCGCCTGTCTCCACCAGGAAGGAAGGCAGCGACTCCTGGCCTGGCTCCAGAAGGACCTTGCTTCAAAGCTTCCAGGTCAAAAAAAAAAAGTTCATGAAATGGACCTTGGAATTATACACATGAGCTTCAGAAGGATTTATATCATCTATATATATATATATGTGCTATAGAGTGTAGAAGTCTTATGTTTATATGCTACAAGAAAGGCATGAGTGTAAAACATCTTGAGTGTGCTGGGCGCCAAGCCGTCAAATTGCAGCGGTCGATGATGCGCAAGTCCGGTCTGACGCCAGTCTCCTTCGCAGGAAAACAGCTCCAAGCAGGAGGACAATAGCTTAGTCTTACTGGTTGTTATCAGGGAATCAGGGAATATAATCCCTACATAATCCCTACACAACACATTGCATTATTCTCTAGTAACCGCCAGTAAGTAGTGAGAAATGAAGGTACCTCGCTTAGGTTTTGGTGGCTTCAGTCCCGGAGCTCAGCAGCTCCCTGCACCAGGCGCCGGAAGCCGTCATTCAGCTCCGGGGCTCCACCCGTAATGTCCAATACCTGGAGGGGTCGCCCCCTCACACGATCTGTACTACTATAATTAGCATGAACGCGACCCCCACCAGGCCTTTACAGTAGGGGAGTTCTTCAGAAGCAGGAGGCAGCGATCGACCACTTCCTGCATGAGGAGGGGATAATACGGAATAGGGTGGACACAGGCAGCCCTGCTGAGTCTGCCAAGCCAGCCTGCGACATCATCTCCTTCCGAAGCGGCGATGACTCTACGTGGCAGTGGCTGCAAGCTTGGTTGCAGTAAAGTCCTGTCAATTCACTTTGGGTCAGCTCCGTTCTGCATGCAAGGGAAGGGCAGGGTGCCTATGTTCAGCTGCAAGGTGTGGCATTTGCTGCGAACCAGGTCAGGAACACGGCGTTGTCTAAGGAAACCTTTGATGACGGATCTTCCCAGGACTGTTCAGCACATAGCACAGCCAAGCCAAGCTGCGTTTGAACGGCGGTGCACCGACGGCCTGCAAAGCCTCCAGGACTTCAGGCATGACGCTGGTAGATTCTTCAGATCATGTTTGCTGCGTGCAGCTTGAAGCTATGCAATTTCTGCGCAGAGAGTTTAGAGATGCCTTGGCTCGTACGTCAAGTTCAGCATCCGGGGCCAGCGAGAAGGCCATCTCGTCTGCTTGCTCCTAGCCGGGCGACTCCGTCATCTGGAACTAAGACGAAGACGGGCCCAGCCTCGAGATCCAAGAGTGCATCTGGGATGAGGCTCGTCCTCTTAACGGATGCGTCTTGGCCTTTCTGATGCAGCTCCTCCCACAGCAGAAACTAAAGAAGGGCCCATTGACTTGCATGTTGGCAGAACACGGGGTCGAGGCCTTGGCTGCTGCCAGGGTCATCTGGGACAGTTCTACTGGTCCGTATTCAAACGAGGCAATCTTTCGACGCCGCATGTACCAGCGGACTATTGGCACCTGAGCAGCATGTGCTTACAGGATGGTACGTCAAAAATAACGTGCAGCAACTCCGGAAATGCACTAGATCAGAAGATTGCGTGCTGAGAGATGCGCAGCTGTCACCAGGGTTCCAGCCGCTAGCATGGCAAGCAGTGGCCACCTGCATTGCACTTCATCACACATGCTTCAGCCAACATGCTACGATTGGCCCGGCGCGTAAAAGTCTAATATGCTGGGTAAGTGTGTTTACGGATGGTACAGTGCAGAGAGCATGAGCAAATGCACTTTTCAAAGTGCCTGAAAAACTGTAGGCAAACCAGCATGCAAAGTCGTGGCCTCGGTGTGTCGTCATCTTCTGAGGCGCTTTCGCCTGACAAGCTAGCGGCCTGCGTGGGAAGTACTAAAACGCTCTTGTTCGAGCTGCCTCTCCCTCGTCTCCACCACGTGTAGCTGGTGGCGCTGCCACGAGCTGATGCCATGGCTACCAAGACGTGAAGGCTGAGGTGCAACAGTGTCAGCGTCTGTCGAAACACTTGCCTGCAAAAATCGCTAGCCTGTGTGGTTCACAGAAAAATGGCAAAGTTCATTGACCTACATCCACTTGGTGACGTTGGGCGTGAGCCTTCATGCAAAGGCATGCATGTGCCGTAGTCAAGATGCTTCCTGCGTCACGCCTCCGGCATGCTTGATGTTCTTTAGCCACATGCGGCCCACCTGCTCATGCGATGAAACCATTGGTAGTCGTCCTTGGCTCTCCGGTGCATTCAAAAATAAGCCACATTGTTGCGTCACGATATTGTTGCAATGCCATCGCAAGTTGTCTGTGGCAAGGCTCGTGTTTGCAAGAAGCGGCTCAGCTCGTTCAGCTCCATTTCCGACACCTGCCTCCAGCTGTGAGTTCAATAGGCTTAAAGCGCTGATCTGAGCCCCGCCATCCAGAAGATGCTCCGGTCTCCACGCTGTCCTGCTGTCAGACATGAATCTGCGCCCCCTCTCAACATGCACTGCTGGAGACCACACAAATTGCCTGCGCAGGGTCAGCAACGTTCTGCGGAGAGAGATCCTCCTGTCATAAGAGGAAGCGAAGGAAGCAGGAGCACATGGGGTTGTATAAAAACCCCGTATTGAATCCTTCATAAACTTCAACCTTATCTTTTATTTTACTCCTTATCGTTTTACTGTGTTTGGGGCTTCCTTGCTTTTCCAAGAATTAAACTGCGAGTAATTAGCTGTCAACAAAA